TCCACTATTCTTTCAACTACTAAAGATAATGTCTCTTTTTCTGTCTTTCCAGTGTCTTCTGTATTTATTCCTTCCTTTTCACTTCGACTGTCAGAACCCATATTTAGTCGTTTTTATTTTAGCTTTAGATTTGCAGTAGTCTCCTAGCTGATATTCCCATCCCCGTAGTACCTGCACCAACCCATTTGACATACCACTCAGAAGTCATCTTCCAAAAATAGATTTACAATCAGTGGTTTCCCATTGTCTTCCACAATGGTTATTGTGGAAGAGAGCTTCCTCTCCCTAGGTTTCAAGGCTTTCAACACGTCAAGCCTTATTGCTGACTTCTGACAGCCCTGCATGACCTGTTTCTGTGGCTTTATCTGTGCTGTAACTACAGCATAGTATAGAAATACAGTCCAGGTGGTTTTTGTTGGTCAAAATGTTACATGTCAAGATTCATCATAAAAGCTATCAGAATCTTATTTTTCCTGTTTTATAGACACTGTGTTTATAAATAGTCAATAGATATTATACATTCAAACTCTGTTACATTTAAAATTGTGATTATGCAAATTTTAATCACTAGCACTCTAAACAAACTTTACACAATAACATATAGGGGTAAAAAGGACTTCATATTTAATCTCCACTCCTACAGGCCTTTGCTTTTACCTTCACACTGTCTTATTTTTGTTTTTATTATTGTTTTTTTGTTGCTGTTTTGAGATGGAGTTTCACTCTTGTTGCCCAGGCTGGAGTGCAATGGCGCAATCACTGCTCACTGCAACCTCTGCCTTCTGGGTTCAAGTGATGTTCCTGCCTCAGCCTCCTGAGTAGCTGGGATTACAGGTGTACACCACCATGCCCAGCAAGTTTTTGCATTTTTAGTAGAGATGGAGTTTCACCATGTTGGCCAGGCTGGTCTCGAACTCCTGACCTCAGATGATCCACCTACCTCAGCCTCCCAAAATACTGGGATTACAGGCATGAGCCACTGCACGTGGCCCACGCTGTTTATTTTTTTACGTTTTTTTTTATTTTTATTTTTTTGAGACAGAGTCTTGCTCTGTTGCCCAGGCTGGAGCGCAGTGGCCGGATCTCGGATCACCACAACCTCCGCCTTCCCAGTTCAACTGATTCTCCTGCCTCAGACTCCCGAGCAGTTGGGACTACAGGCACGTGCCACCCTGTCTGGCTAATTTTTTGTATTTTTAGTAGAGACAGGGTTTCACTGTGTTAGCCAGGATGGTCTCAATCTCCTGACCTTGTTATCCGCCAGTCTCGGCCTCCCAAAGTGCTGGGATTACAGGCGTGAGCCACTGCACCCAGCTTACATTGTTTATTTTTGAACATGTCATATATATTACAAAATTCTAAAGTTACAAAAGGGTATAAAATATAAAATAACTTTTCTCTCCTTCCTGTTGTCCCCTCCCCACAGTTCCTCCTTCTTGGAAACACTAGTGTTATCAGTTTCTTGCATGTGTTCATCCAGGGAGAGTTTAACTAGAGACACATGTTTAATTTATGTATGGATTTGGGAATGGTAGGGGTGTGCATTCAAACTCAGTAATAAGAAACCAAGTTATTCAATTTAAAAAAGGGCAAAAAATACGAATAGAGGCTTCCCCAAAGAAGATATATGAATAGCAAATAAGCACATGGAGAGATGCTCAATTAGTCATTAGGGAAATGCAAATGAAAGTCACAATGAAATATATCACACACCTATTAAAATGACTAAAATTAGGGGCTGGGTGGTCCCAGTGGCTCATGCCTGTAATCGCAGCACTTTGGGAGGCCGAGACGGGTGGATCACGAGGTCAGGAGATCAAGACCATCCTGGCTAACCTGGTGAAACCCCGTCTCTACTAAAAAAAAACACACACACACACAAAAATTAGCTGGGTGTGGTGGCGTGCACCTGTAATCCCAGCTATTCGGGAGGCTGAGACAGGAGAATTGCTTGAACCTGGGAGTTGGAGGTTGCAGTGTGCTGGGATCGGGCCACTGCACTCCAGCCTGGGTGACAGAGTGAGACTCCATCTCAAAATAAATATACAAATAAATAAAGACTAAAATTAAAAGATTGTCCATATTCACATGGAGGGGAACAATGCCCACTGGGGCCTACCGGAGGGTTGGGTGGGTAGAGGGAGAGGATCAGAAAAAATATCTAATGTATACTGGGCTTAATGCCTGAGTGATGAAATAATCTGTACAATGAACCCCTGTGACACACCTTTACCTATGTAACAAACCTGCACATCCTGCACATGTACCCCTGAACTTAAAATAAAAATTAAAAATCCGGGCACGGTGGCTCACACCTGTAATCCCAGCACTTTAGGAGGCCGAGGCAGACGGATCACGAGGTCAGGAGATCCAAGGTCAGGAGACCGAGGAGCATGGTGAAACCCCGGTCTCTACTAATAATGAGAAAAAATTAGCCCGGCGCAGTGGAGCGCCTGTTAGTTCCCAGCTACTCGGGAGGCCTGAGCGCAGGAGAATGCGTGAACCCGGGAGCGAGCTTGTGAGTGAGCCGGAGATTGCGCCACGGACTCCAGCCGTGGGCGACAGAGCAAGACTCCGTCTCAAAAAACAAACAAACAAACAAACAAAAAAAAACAATTCTAGTTTCTTCTCCGCCTCATCAACACTTAATCATGGACAATTTTTTTTAAACTTTTTTTGTTTTGAGAGATCTCCGCGCTGTCGCCCAGGCTGGAGTGCAGTGGCGGCGATTTCGGGCTCACTGCAAGCTTCCGCCTCCCGGGTTCACGCCATTCTCCCTGCCTCAGCCTCCCGAGTAGCTGGGACTACAGGCGCCGCCACCATGCCCAGCTAATTTTTTGTATTTTTAAGTAGAGAGACGGGTTTCAGCCGTGTTACCAAGGAATGCCCGTCGAC